AGCCTCATCTTAGCATAGCTTAATGCTTAACATCTGCTCTACAGTACTGGTGATTGACCATGAGATTGCCGACTAAAGACATAACGTTCGGCTAAATTTTCTATTATGCACTTCCAACCCTGAATTAGTTTAGTTAGTTATTATAACTACATATATTACCCTTATTTATTTATTTACTTATTTTTGTTCATAGAAAGAAATTTTTGTAAAGTTTCTTGTCATCAACGCTCTACAGCACAGTTGGCTGAAGACACTAATTGTTACCAAGATTAATGTTAGCATAAAAGGTTAGTACACAGTTTTATGTTCTATTACTAATGTTTTTATAAAAAATGCTTTAGACATCATTATGTGAATGATTTTTAAAGCTGTCATGAGTTGATAGTCCCATGGTGATGAAAGCAAAAAATAATAAAAATTTATTTTAAAGATGATGTCAAGTTATTCAGGAGGTGTAAAATCACTCATGAATAATGATTAAAGCAGAATTTTAATCTTCTCTTGACTTCTAAAGATAAATGTCCTTGTAAAGACTCTGGTGTGCAATATAAAGTGCCAATCTACTGTGAAGTACTAACTCAAATTGACTTTTATCATGCCTGTGATAAACTTGCACCCCTTTCCTCATCTGCACAGGCTCAAAATTTTTTTTGAGTACCATTGTCAGTGAATGCCTATGTGATATGTCCATTGGTCCATTGGATTTTATGAAGCCATACATATTGCACTCTTGTAAAATATTCCTGGCAATACTTGGTCAATCAGTCAATATGAATGATGACCTGTAGCAGAATATTTTGGTTTGAGATATATACCAAGCAAAGGGGGGCTATGGAGTCAACAAATTAGCGATCACATAGTTTCAGTTAATAAATGATTGTGTATTTTTCAAAATGGAAGTATTTTATTTAATTCTGAATTAAAATAAGAAAAATGTCTACTGAGCTTGTATGAAGCATTATGCATAGAAAGTAAAAGCGTACTTTTGGAATCAAATTCTTTCTTCCTTTCTGCAAAATAATTTCTAAAAAAAAGAAAAAAACTGGATATTAGATCATTCTGGATTTGAGACTTTGTATTAGATATATATGTATATATTATGTGTGTGATAACACTACTCCAGTATTGTGATAAAACTGCATTGCTATTGAAATAAGATGACTTGGTGCAATGGATTGGCATTAGAGAGGACTGCATCATAACTTGAAAGACTTTGCTGTGTAGTTAGCAAGATGACACTTGAAGAACAAACATAATGGTAAATTCCATATGCAATTTTATTTCTTGGATAATTCACATTATCAATGTGGGTGCACTATGCACCTTCCAATTTTTTTCAGCTTACATCTTAAACAATGGGCAAATTTAGGAAAGTAAACTTTGTGTAGGGAAAAGCAGCAGAAGAGACGGAAGAAAGGGAGTTGTGATGCAATTGACCTTTTTATACCAAATTCCATTTCAGATCACATGATAATTTAATGTACAGGATTTTAATTCAGATTTCACCAGTAAGTGTGCATCAGAACTACAGGGAGACGAATTTTGTATAAAATGGAAGTTAAAGGGCTATTATTAATTTGTTATTTGAGAGCTAGATTTCATATTTTACATATATATATAAAATGTTGTATGATCTTAAATTCTCTAAGTTCAAAAACAAGTTATTCTAATACTTGCGCGATAGCTTCAAAGTAAGATAATAATAATTTATTTACTAAAGAAATATATATATATGTATATATGCACACACCAATACTTAAACTGAAGTATATTGTAAAGTACAAAGTCCGAAATCCGGACATCCATTATCCGAAACGATCTAAAATCGGGACCTCAAAACCACCATTTTCCTCGTAGGCTTTACCGCATGCACATTTAATCCCCCCTCCACGCATAATAAAACATCTGGAGCGTCCCGATTCTTAATTTCACTTTGACACTAAATAAAATGCCTCGTTATTGAAGAAACAATCGTTCTAGCATAAATTTGTGCAATCAGTAATTTGGCTCCGTTGCTGCTTATCTGCTTGGCATACATGTCAAACCAAAATATTTCATATAGATAAGTAGCGTATTCGGAAACTAAGTACCGTTTCATTCTAGCGCCGTCGCAGCGCTGTGGTAGGCGTCCCGCGCATGCGCACTAGTCTTTCTTGTTCACAGACTTTCAATTGTCGCAATTTTGGTTGCTCTATGTTGTGTTTTCAGTTTGCTGTGCACATTCAAAATGTTTGAGACAATTAGTTCTCCCGCTGACTGTGAGATTCGTGCCGTGATTAAATTTTTGAACGCGACGAATGTTAAACCGGCCAAAATTTATCGTCAAGTGACAGAAGTTTACGGTGAATACGCGATAAGTGATGGAATGGTGAGAAAGTGGGTAAGAATGTTTAATGCAGGTCGAACAAATGACCACGCTGAGGCTCGGAGTGGTCGGCCTTCTGTTGTCACCGCAGACGCTTCACAATGACAACTCTTTTGGAGGCATTTCCACAAATTTCATGTACTGTTGTTCGAAATTGTGTCTGACCGCTTGAATTATCGCAAATTGTGTTCCCGATGGGTTCCAAAAATGCTCACTGATGTTCACAAAACAAAGCGACTTGGTAGTGACCTGACATTTCTCACGAGGTACAGTGATGAGGGAGAAAACTTTTTAAACCAAATGATGGTGACAGGTGATGAAACTTGGGTGTGTCATTTCACACCAGAATCGAAACAACAATCGATGGAGTGGAGACACACTCATTCTCCGAAAAAACAAAAGTTCAAAGTGACAATGTCATCACAAAAAATCATGTGCACTGTCTTCTGGGATAGGAAAGGCGTTTTGCTTACTGAATTTCTTCCCAGAGGTGAAACCATTAATGCGGCACGATATTGTGAGACTTTAACAAAACTAAGGCGTGCCATTCAAAACAAACGAAGAGGAATGCTCAGTAAAGGAATTGTGTTGCTCCATGACAATGCTCGGCCCCATACTGCTGGTGTCACTCAATCGTTAATTCGACAGTTTCATTGGGAGCAGTTCGATCACCCGCCGTACAGCCCGGACTTGGCGCCGTCCGACTATCACTTGTTCCTGCCACATGAAGCGCGAGCTTGGTGGCAAGCGCTTTGGATCTGACGATGACACGAAAAATGCTGTGGAGTCGTGGTTATCGAAACTGGCGGGAAGTTTCTTTGACGATGGTATACAAAAACTGGTCACCCGCTATGACAAGTGTTTGATCATTGGCGGAAACTATGTTGAAAAATAGTTTAAGACATGTATTTTCATGTAAAAATAAAATTGGATTCGAAAAAATTGTTTTACTATTTTTTTCAAAACGATACTTAGTTTCCGAATACACCTCGTATATCATTGATCTGACACCCACCTGGCGAATCATTATTTATTATACTTTCCTTTCATCACCGCATGTTTATCAACACATGACAACTAGAGTAATGACTCAAGTAGCGATACCTGAACAATTTGTTACTCATGTAGCGATGCCTAAACAATTTTTTTACTCATATAGCGATACCTAAAAAATAGTTTCACTCATGTAGCGATGCCTAAACAACTGTTAATAAATGAATAATAAAGGAGTATGGTAACCTTTTATGTTGACATTACGCTTGGCGATGATTACAGATTTGAGTTAAATGTGCTAAAAAATGTTGACGAGGAAAAAATTAACAAACATTTCTTTCCATATGATAAAACTAGATTTTGATGATGATACTCATACATACAAAGATTACATTTAGAGCTATTTGAATTAAGAATAACTGATTTGTTTATTCACATAAACACAGCGCCAGGGCTCGTATGATCGTACCGGATCGAGAATTTAGGATCCACAGCGGTAAGATATCCAGCGTCGGTCCTCAACGAGACTTAAGTATATGTGGGAATTTATTTATTCAGAACTCTGATAAGCCTTAAACATGTGCAAAAAATAGACATAAGTATAATAAATAACTAAACTAATACAATTCAGGCTTAATTGTCTCAGTGCTCGATAGAAGCAAGATAAAATTTAACGGAACAACTTGTCGTTAGTCACCAAGCTCATGATGCATAGCCAAATATGTATAGTGAACGATAGCTAAATTTGATGATGATAGTTGCTAATTTTAAAGGTTTTCGGATATCGCAAAACAAAGGTGAAATTTTTCAATTAACGGATTTTGTAAAGAAATGTGGAGAAGCGGTAATAAATGAAGATGGTATAAAAGAAGCTTTTCATTGTGATAACAATGCTTTTCAATCATCAATCAGTTAATGAATGATGAAATCCGTAGTATGGTTCTAGATCCAGAAAATACTGCTACTGATAGTGAAGAAAGTGACAGAGAAGTTACTGAAAACGGAAAAATTTTGATTGATAAGTTAGTCGGAATTCTTGACACAGCAGTTACAGTCAACAATGTAACTGAACAAGAGATTGTGTCTGCATACAAAATTAAAGCGAAAGTATTAGAACAAAAAAAAAAAAAAAAAAAAAGCAACTTAAACAACTTACATTGAAAGAAATGTTTATTAAGGTAAACAAATAAATAGTAAGCTTTTTTTTTTTTTTTTTTTTCCGTAAATTTTGATACCCTTTAGATCATAAGTACTTCATTATTTCATAAATCACGATTTCATATTTTTAATTTTATAATTTCTACATGCCATCTTATTAGTTTTAAATTTATGATCTAATAGCCGGAAAAATGTCAAATCCGGAATCGCCGAATTCCCAACGAATCCAGATTTCGGACATTGTACTGTATTAATATTTTACAATAAATAGGAGAAAATATAATCTGTAAGATTCTAATGTAAAATGTGTTTGTATGTGGTTCTAATGTAAAAAATATATATTAAAATAAGATTATTATAATTTAGTTCACTAACACACATATACATTTAAACCCTATACTTGCGAAACATAAATTATACAGTGAACTAAATTTTTTATTTCAAATTATTTAATTAACAAAATGAAATTCAATAATAAGCATACCAATGATATCCATTAAGTTTGCCATTCTATCTGTTGGAAATCCTGGAGAATGTTCATCCTGCCTCCAAAGGTCATCTAATATGTTAAGTGATACTTCCAAGGAATCTTTAAATTCACTGAAGGATTTCCGTTCAAGAGCTCCAAATGACGTTTGAAAAGGTGTCATCAAGTTACTAAAAAATTTAGCTCTGTTTTGTTGCTGATGGGTAGGCAAATTATTCTCCATCTCTTTCCAATAGTTGTATTCATCCAATGGTGAAAAAATAACTAAATTAATCAAGAAAGATATAAGAAACTACAAGATGATTTAAAAAATTCAAATTATTTAATAAAAATATATTTAGATAGTTAAGCTACTATGATAACATGTTTAAGAATCTACTATGATAGCATGTTGAAGAATCTCGCAAGATAAAATCAAACTAAATGGAGTAATCTACTAGCAATGTGAAAAAGATATAATATGTATTAACAACTAATGTAACAATCCTATGCATGTCTTCTCCTTGAACTAAAACTAAAACTGCCTTCTGCTTTGATAGTAACCAATTAAAAAACAATAAAGATTAATTTTTCTTTTTATATTTAAGTATTCAAAATTTGTTCGACTCATTAACTAAATCTGTGTTACATGACAAAATAATTTTTTCTTAGTTTCATTTTCAGTCAGCCAAGTAAAATAATTCTTTGATAATAATAACTAGAATTTTGTATAATATATAGTAGATTATGCTCAAATGTTAGTTATGATTTACATACAGAAGACCAAAACTCCACCAGCACCTGAAATCTGTACAACTTAGATATAAATAATGAAATTCACAGTTAAAAAAAGATTGCAAAATAGAAAAATAAAGATAAAAACTTTCATTTCCTAGTCTATTTTGAAAAATTTATTCCTATCTTCATTTTATATTGAAATAAAATAATGCTGAAATTTCTGAATCAGATTCAGTAATGACAAGTTTATAATACTTTTCTTTATTAAGGAAAAAAAATGAAAAATAGACTAGTGTTTCAAGAAAACAATATTGTGGATTATGTGATAAATTTGGATGACTTTAAGACTACTTTCAAAAGACTAATGATGAAATCATCAGCAGTATTTTATAACCCACATAAGAAGATCCTGTTCGTGATGATGACACAGGAAAACTAAAGGGTACTGTTTTATGCTAGATTTTTTTTCATTTTTATTTATTTATTTATTTTATTTTAGAAGAAAATATCTGAAATTTTTAAAACAACAAATGTATGTATCTGATCAGGAAGTGATGATTGTATATAATCTGCAAAATGGAAAAATTCAAAACTAAATTATCCTAAAAATTTAAGGTAAACTACTGTAAAATATATTTAAAAATGTTTTAAAAAAATCATGTTTGTATGCTGTTTTTTTACATTCATTTTATTCTGCTCCATAAAATTATCAAACAGAAATTAATAGTTTTTACGTGCTTTCTTTACTTTGATTTTATTTATTTTGATTTTCTAAGGCTAACAAATGTTCTTTCATGACTTAAAATCACAAACATTCCAAAAATGAAAAATTTCTAATCCTACTTTTTATGCATTTGTCTTCTACTATATTAATTAGATAAAAAAAAATCTGAGAACTCATCATGGAGATTATTATATTTGAAAGAGTAATTTAAAGATGTTTTCCCCCAAATACTATATATTATTGTCACAGTACATTTTAGCATGAAGGGGCATCACATAAACTATAAAATAAAAAAGGAAAGAGCAAATATATTCCATTCAGGAACAGTAATAAAGCAATATTTCTTACTTTATTATTGTTCAAATGTGAACATATATCCATGCACTTCTTATTGTACAATAATATATGTTTTTCTTAATGCAATATTAGACGTTACTTCAAATTACAACATTTGATAAGACATTTGTTTTACATCTTTAGGATGTTATTGGGTACCCCTATGCTACCAGATATCATTACCCCCCCCATAAGGAAAACGGTTTCCATTTAGAAAAGCTGAAAGTATATTTCATCATATAATTTTATGACAAAAAACTAATTTCACAAATAAAAGTTAGAAATTTCAGTAATCAGTCATGAAAAGATGTATAGTGAAATATCTATTAATGAATACATGAAGCTGTGATATATTCTCTCAAATATGATTGATTATAAAAGCATATCTTATCACATCATAAACACTGTTGAAAAAGCATCTGTCCATGGTTTAGAAAAGCCTAATTTTAAGTTACAAATAGAGCCAATGGACTTAAATGAAAGCTGACTTCATAAAAGGTTTAAACAACCTTTTGCTGCTACCAGTTGTACTTAGTTGGCATATAACCTGTTTTAAACAAAAGAGGAGATATAATAAATAATAGATTTATTCAATTACATTATGGTTAATGCAGCAAATGTCAGTATTAAATTATAAACCTCATTATCAAATAAGTATTATCCAGAACAGATTAATAACTCCAGCTAATCTCACTTTGTAAAACTTGACACTTTATGTCACTTTTGTGTCTCTTGTCCACAAAGAGAAGATCATGAATTCAAAACAGAAACTCAGAGTGTTACATAATAAACTATGATATTATATGTTATATTTATTCTTGACTCATAATATTTCTAATGAAGTATAAAATTTTATACATTAATTTTTTTAATGATTATTTTACCTTTAAACAAGGGGAATAAATTTATGAAAATGATATTTTCAAATCAGATGTTCCAGTATTTGATCATCAAAAGTACAGTATTATATCTACATTAATTTCATAAAATGTTTGATGATGCGAGTAAAATAGGTTGCTTTGATCATTTCTTTTCCTGCCAAATTAGAAATATGGAAGCTACTGAATTTTTAATTTTCTGAAGTCATTATCATTGAATTATGAAAATTGAAACTTAAGTTTAAATTTTAGTAGCTTCATAATTCATTAAAATCTAAAGGGTATTAAATTAATTATTGGAATAATTTTCATTTATGTATTCTTGATTATCTGTATTCATTTTCATATTTAAAAATAACATTTTAGTGGCACTATCTATGAAATAAATATCTAAACAAAAATGGCAGATCTCATATTATATCATACCTTTTATTCTTGTGCACAGAGCACTGTGCAAGAGTAAAAATTAATCTTTACTGTTGTGCATATTTTTTAATTTGTCCACACACACATATACGTATATATTGTACAGCAGACAACTATTCCAGTGTCATCTTATGGGCAAAGGCATATTTGCTATCACGCTACCCTTGAAAGTATCCTATATTGAATATCACATTTTTGATGTAACAGGATTATATTATCACTTATTGATTATGCAATTTTATTTACAAAGGAAAAGGCAATTTTTATACATTACTTTTAAAGTAATACAGAATACTTATTCTGCATTCAAAATATCATATTAGCTATGAATAAGCACAGAAAAAATTTCTGAATAATCTTATATAATTTTGTTAAATGATTAATTCAGCCTAAAGACACATTAAACTTGCTATTGTTAGCTTGTAATTTCCTTTTAATTAAAAATCTGGAAACAAAATAGAATAATAATTAATTTGCTTTAGAAGGCTTCTTTTTCATAAGGCTATCCCAAACATGTTATCTTCTACATTGCTAAAACAACTAATTAAAATCAATATAAATATTCTTTATAAGACTTTTATAAATACAACTTTTAGAAAGTGTACACACATTTTTGGTTCTTAATTTTTTGAAGTCCCTGCTCCTAAGAATCTAGTGAGGTCTCACATCAGATCCATAACATTTTTATATAGTTGGGGCCTTTTTCATATTGTCTTGGTATTAAGATGCCAGAGCTTTTTTTGGAAGTTGGCCAGTGTTCAAAATGGCACTTTATGCATATTAGTTTCTAACTTAAATAATAATAATAATTTTTAGAGGTACTAGCACTGCTATACAAATAGGATTTTAACTTGCTCTTCTGATTAACAAACCACCCAAAAATTCTACTTGCAGAATAGTGCTCATACCTTTATGAATATTGCCTTTTTTAAAATTTATAACAAAAGTAATAAAACTGTAAATTTTCCTTACAGATCTTTTATTTCATTTGTGAGGCAAGTAAATTCTAAACTAGGTTAAAAAGATTATTAAAATTTTCCTTAAATTTTCATATTTTCTTTACATTGGTCATGCTAAATACTCAGCATTTTAATACATATAAACTAAACAATCACGAAAGATCTAATTTTCAGTTCGAATGCATTTTATACCCTATCATTATTATAAATTTATTATTTAAATGCATTCCTATCATTATTATAAAATATTCTTCATAGGCTATAAAAGTTGCATAAATATTGTAAAGCATAATCCATTAACTCCTTTTTATCTTCAATTTTTTTTAGCACTTGAACATATCTTATTTACTGCAATTTATAAAAATTATCAAACATAAAAAAGAAAATCTAAAAAATATTTCATTTAGAGAAAAATAATAGTGAATTCATTTAATCATTTTATGCTACCAACCAATTACACCCAAAAATTATATTTTCAGAAATTACTTATTTAAAATCCAGCAATAAAAAATCGATTTCTTCCTCTGAGATTCAGATCAAACAAATTCGTATGTCCAAGTAATTCTACAACTACTTGAATTTATAAATCACTTACAAAAAATCACATTGATAATGATAATTTTTATTCAAAGGGGAAATTTGCCCAGAAGGACTATTAATTTCATTTTGGCATTTGGTGTTGGTTCACTATAAATGTTGGTTCACTTTTTAAATTGTTGCCACCAAATATTAGAGCCTTGTATTATATTTAAAGAAATTAAATAATGAAAATCTGCATAAATGCATGTATGTTTCTCATATTGGGATAAAACAACAGTACATAGAGTCATCAAATTTTGAATAACACGCGTTTTCACCCGAATATGGGTATCTGGAAGCTCAAATTTGGATTTTGTTTTATTATCTATTTCATATTTTGTAAAACTTAAATGAATTTTTGATTTACAAACTCAACAGTTTCAAAGCGAGTAATTGCAACACTGTATTGGGGAAAAAAAAAAAAAAAAAAAAAAACCTTTTCATCTCCAGTGTGCGAGACTGTGTATCGGAAATTCTAAAGATATGCTCATTTAAAAACTATTTTGTGATTTTGCTGTTGAATTGAAATTTATGGTTTATGTGCGAAGAGCATGATATTTAATAAACAAAGGTAACACACAAAATGTTAAAAAAAATGCCCCCTTGGGCATAATATAAAATCTGAAAGCTTTCAGATTTTTTTAAAAATAATTTACTAAATTTTTCATAATAAAAGTTACATTGCTTAATAAAGGAATTTTGCAGTATCCAAATATTTAAAGTTTTAACAATAAAGCTTACTTGAAAGAGCATCAGGATTTGGGGCTTTATCAATTGATGCATCACTAGATCTGAGAGAAGCAGCCAATCCTGATTCCAGATGGCCTAATAAACGCTGTAACTTTGGATCTACTTGTTTACTCCATCTTTCATCTTCTAATAAAAGAGGGGCAAACACCTTTCTTACAGTATGGTAAAAAGAACTTATTGGAGAATCAACCATAGAAGAAATGAATAAATTAGAAAGAAGATTATCTGGTGTAACAATTTCTGGACTTCTTTTGAAAAAAACCAGAATCCTGTCTTGTGAGCCTTTTGGTTCTACCTAAAAAAAATATAGAGCTTTTAACAATTTTTTTAGAGGCATGTTTAGAGGAGAATGAAGGCATGTAAATTTATAAAAATTAAGACAATTCAATATATATATACAGGGTGCATCAGAAAAATGTATACACACTTTGTACTGTCAGAGAAAATTTATTTTGTGAACTACAAGATTAAATTTCTGGGAAAAGTAAGGCTATAGTCCAGTATGAAAAATAAGTGTTCTTTCTTTTTAAACTGAACATTCTAAATGGTGTTTAAAGTAATTGTTCAAAATGGTGGCCTTCGGCATCCATACATTTCTGAGCATGAGTCAAGACTGATGCTGTACTTTGCACCAAAGTGCCCAATAGGATTTCATACCAAAGTGTGTCAAGGTTACGTGCTTTACAACAGTACACCTCATCTTTTACTATGACCCCTAATAAAAATTAAGCTTTGTAAGGTCTGGAGAGTGTACAGGAAACTCGATTGGTTCCCTGCATCATATCCATTGACCTGGATGCTCACACATCCAGATATGATCTAATAACCACTATCATGGGGATGTGTGATCATACCAAGATTGATCCAGGTATGCTCGCACATCTCTGTGATAGTGAGGAGGAGTATCATCTTATTGGTAATGAAACTTAGAATTATCGTACATTGCAAAATGGCAGGAAAAATGGAATCAGTTAGGTATTTTTCTCCAATTACAGTACCTTCAAAACAGAAAGGCCCACACACTTTGCGATGAGGTTCAAGTGGTGTGTGCAGAAATCCCATTGAACACTAGTGTGCAGAGTATAGATTCAGTCTTGACTCGTACTCAGAAATGTAGAAGTCCACCATTTTAAGCATTTACTTTAAACACCATTTGTAACACTCAGTTTCACAAGAAAGAACATTTGGCTTTCAAACTGGACTATAGCTTTAATTTTCCCCAAAACTTAACCTTGGAGAAATAAATTTTCTACGACAGTTCAAAATACATATACATTTTTCTGACACACCCTGTTTCTATAGAAAGAGAGATAAGAAATAAAAAATTTAGACTAGGTTAAAAAGATTTATAAAATATTATCCAACATAAAATCCAAAAAGACATGAAAGAAATAAAATACAAAACCTTTAAAATCTAAAATTCCCTACAAATATGTAAAAAATCAACCAATAGTTACCACACCAGAAGAATTATAGATATGGGAAAAATACAGGAATAATATTGTTTTAAAATTAAAAAAATATATATATATTCATTAAAAATATGTATAAAACTTTAGTCATGAAAATTAAAATAGAAGGACCTTTACAAAAAGCTTTCAACTCACTTTGTAATTAATAGCTGTGATTCATTAAACTAATAAAGAAACACTGATTCTAATGAAACAGAATACTATCTAACATTTAATATTTTATTTTTGCTAATCTTTGGAATATGGTAACAGGTAGTTTGGCGATATTTTGGTAAGATGATACAGGTTACTAGCTAGGACTTTAGCAGTGTACATGGATAAAGTCAAGAGTGTGCACAATGCCATTTTTGTGCAATTCTAGGATGTTTTTTTAAGTGAAAATAGGTCGACGTATACATGGATACCGTGTATGTGCAATTCTTAAAAACGCGGCAAGCAGTTTGCGATTCTGCACTTTCTCCCAATTTTGCACCTAATCTTTCGCCAAAAAATCGCCAAGTTACCATAATCCAAAGATTAACCAAAATATTTTTAATGAATTATACAAGAAATGTAAAAACCAAACCAGTGTTTATTTGAATACATAAATTCATAATTAATTCCTCGTTTACTGCTGAAAATAAACAAAGTGAACAGAATGATGAATTTTTCATTTATTACCCCAAATATATAAATTTGCATTCCCTAAGATATCAAATATTAGTAGAAAACAAATAACTACATTATTTCTACCTTGCTGCATAAAACAATCTCTTTTTTTTCACCAGATCCATCAATATAAGCACTCAAAACAAAGCAGTTTTTGTTATCAAGAAAGGTATCCAATGCAGCGGCGTGAAGTAAACGAGAAATATTGGAATCTGATAGATCACTCGCAAAAAAATCGCGCACATTTGCTAAAATGAAATCTTTACGACTATCTCCACTTTTCATTTTTAACAAAGTAGTTTTAAACTGATTTCATATTAGAAACTACTGTGAATTAAAGGTAATTGATTACCCTAACATTGTTCTCACATACAATTTGGAAAGTTTGTATCAGTTAAATTTCCATGGCAACCAATCTGGCTCCGCCTTTTTGATATGGTTGCCAACAATTGTATCTCAATAATCCCAATGGCTGGTACTAGCCGTTAAAAGTGTAGTTTCCAGCCTGACCAAAACGGTAATACGTTGTTCTTTGTTAGTTGAGACATTTTTTGTATAGCTGTGCATTTCGACCAATCATAGAGAAATGCTTGTTTACATTTTCGTTTATGTACTGTTTACAAGCAGACTACCTTTCATTCTGTTTGTACTCTCCCTTGACTAGATGACGTTTCAGAGGCTAGAATCGCCAACATAAACTAAGTCTATAGTCTATAATTAGTATTACTATATCTATGATCGCCAATGGCACTTTTGGTATTTGTCATGAAATTACGAAAAATAATTTGTGCTTACCGCTGAAAGCATAGTTATAGCTTTTATTAAAAAAAAAAAAAAAAAAAAAACTTTCTTTTTCACAGGGTTGCAATAAAATGTCGAGAAAACTCATTGTCCTTTTCGAAACATACCTGTTGTTATTTTACTTTCAATCATGCGAAGTTCCTCATAGATTGTTTATTAAATACATTTAATTTATTGATTGAAAGGATAATTTTTAAAAGATGTAATAGTTGTAATTAACAACGTTTTGCATATTTTGAAATTACTAACGTAGAAAACTGATACTGTAAGAAAAATAATACTCAAGATGGGTATTCCCATTAAATCCCCCCCCACCCTGTTTATTTGTAAAGAAAAATAAAAAGAATTTCTTCTAAAAAACTGAGTAAGAGTTAAAAAAAAAAAAAAAAAAAAAAAAAAAAAAGGAAAATGTCTTTATTCGGTTACAATTTGATTTCGTTTTGAAAGCTGCAGTAAGGCGGCACAGGGTATTTAACAGAGTACACTCTTAATGTTTATAAGGTACTTAAGTTTATCCCATCGACAGTTCGTTGAAATTTCGGAAAAGGTCCCCAATCACACCAGGATGTCTGTGTAAAAATTGAGCTAAAAGAATGTTACAGCCAGACCAAGGATGATCTATATTATAAATAGTAAATTACAATGCTACAAGAATAATGGAACGTAGGAAAGGAATATTTTAAAGGGTTGGTGGCATTTTCCTGAAAATGTTAATTTCATGATAAATATTGTCTTGTATTCCCCTCAAGAACACAACTATAGCTCTTAAATTATGAATGCTGTGGTACAAATTATAACTGTATCAACAAAGATAAACACGCACTTATCTGATTTGCTGGACTGTATTTCTGAGATTAATGATGACATTTCTATGGCCTTTCTTTTATTACTTTCGTGTCTATGTGGGTTGTATTCGTGATTTGCTACATGCCCGTTTATACTAACGGAGCTTTGAACACAAGAAAAGCGCGCGAACTTCATTTTAATGGAATTAGCTTCTTGTTCTGAAAAAATATTTTAATCTTGAAATTTTGAATAACATTATCGCCTAGCCCGTTCACGGGATTTGTATAAAAAGTGTACAGATACCCGGTTTTGTCACGAAATGTGTGTGTCCTTTTTTCCCTTCATCAGTGGAGCCGTGAAGATGCCCTCGCATCTTGGACTTACTGCAGCTATAGGGTTTATTTTACTCGTCTGGAGTTAGTTAGCAGCAACTCTTTGGATTTTGACGTTATTTGATTTAATCAGGTCTTGACAGTTATGCATTCCTAGCTATTATTGAAGTATATAATTATATGTGATAATACAGCGACAGGTACACAATGATTGTTGACAGTGTATGGTTATTAGTCAGATTTTTAAACTGGCAACGAGTCTATGGCGCCATAAAGCCATAACAGTTGTTAATTTTATGTTTCTGTCTATAGAGAAATGTAATTTATAATGATTTGATGTTGAGCAAATAAAGTAATTGAATGAATAAAATTTGAATTTATTGCTGTCAGTTACTTACTTGTTAGGTAAAATTCGCTGCACATTTAGATGTGTCCTTTATTGAATAAATGGACGCATGATCTCTGTTGGCATTTTCTCTGACTTGGAAAGGTAACAGATTACTTATGTTTAAATTTCAGTATAAATTATCTAGAAGAAAATACTTTATAATGGTGTTTACAAGTAATTTATGACAACAATTCAATTTACTGACTAAAAAAATTGTTTTATTTTCTTTCGATTTGAAATTGTTAATGTTAAGAACTTGCATGAAGAACGCATATAAGCTATGCAGTTTTTATTAATTAATGAGATATAATGTCCTTATCCAACGAATATGTGTAATTTAAATGATTTGAATGCATTTTAAAATTTGTCCCGTTTGTTTACAGAAATTAGTTTTAAATATCACTTGCATGTACTTTGTTCTTAAAAATTGCATGTTGTTTTTGTTTCCATAAAGTTGTTTTACTGCCGTTAAAATAATGAAGACTAGCATTAAGTTTACATTTTATCGTTAAAAGACTCATGATGGTGTTTTAAAATGTACCCGACTGTTCTTTGTGCAAGATAAACAGACAGATAGGAAAATTTTCATGACTGAATTTGATGTTTTACAATCTTTTGTGTAATATTTAAGGGCACTGTGTCTCATGAGCGAATAGTAAATTCTGTTCTTGTAAAAATGAATACATGAATTTGCCAAAAAGGATTTTGATAGATAAAATTTCAGATTTTAAATATATGAAAATAAAATCTGTAGACTAGTCATTGTACTTAAAAGTACTAACTGAACAAATATGACCATAAATTTGGATTCTACTGATTATTTTAAAGATTGATTCTGATATATCTTTTGATTATAAATAACGGTTTTGATTTTATTAATGGACCATATGCTCTATCTCGTCAGTATTATACTGCTTGTAGTTTGAGTCCTTACTGAACTTGTTACTCAAATATTATTATAATTTTCTTTTATTTAGGATATGGCTAATTTTTCTGGAATTTTTGTAAAACGTTGTTACTTCTATATTAAATGTAATCTGCCACTTTTGTTCAGATAATTTGATTTTGTAGCACAAGGCTTCATTGTATCATTTAAAATATAATGTGTAAAATTATCTGACCAAAAGTTAATCATATTTTGATAATTGCAAATGCTTAGTTTATTAACCAAAATGCTCTAGTTAATTTTATCAGAAGGCAAAAAGATAATAGGCAATCAGCTATTGGTATCTTTTTTTTTTAATTTCATAACGACTAATTAAAAATCTGTAGTGTATTCAATTGCTGTTAAGATGTAAAGGAACTACTCTGATATGCGCCCTCAAGTCGCCAAATTTCGTGCCAAATATTTTTGGCGAGAAACTTTACGCTGCCATATTACTATCTAAATTTTTTGTCTACATTTCGAACTTTTAGCCTAAAATATCTCCAAAAATGCGGTTTTCGCACATGCAAAAACTACGTTTTCAACATACAATTTAGCTAAAAATCCGAAACAAAAACAAAAATTTAGATAGCAAAACGTAAAGTTTCTAACCAAAAATATTTGACAAGAATCCATGTAACCAGAGACATGTTTTAACTTAAAAAAACATCTACGAATGGCACAATGTAGGCAACGAACGAATCTACAAACTACGCACACCCCGCTTTAATAAATTAACATAACAACAATAAATTTCAAAGAATACCATGTACACAAGCGATCCTGTTTTAACTTAAAAAAAAATTCTACGAATTGCACAATTTAGCCAACAAAGGAATCTACGAATCTATGCACTCCTTGCTTTAATAAATTAACATAACAACAATAAATTTCAAAGAATACCATGTACACAAGCGTTCTGTTTTTACTTTAAAAAAACATCTACGAATTGCACAAGTCTAGGACATTGCGCACAAATCAACAAAATAAATAAAATAAATTACAAATAATTCAAAAAACTACAATAATGACAGAAATTTCAATACTAAAAAGAACCAATACAGCATAACATTCTACAAAATAAGAACAAGGATAAAATAAAATGCACTTACCATGAATTAATGCGTTTTCAAATAGCAGAAATATAAATTTCATACCGCCTTTAACATGTCACCACGTAATCACTATCGTATTTACATGACAGCCAGACACACTATCCAGAAAATTTATACTATGGTTCACAAATAAATAAAATCACAAATCCCTACTTCTATCATGCACTGCCATTAAAAATAATCTCCCAGACCCTCTTTCCATACTTCCAAATACCCACTACCCCTCAACAGGATAGCCACAATGATGTTTCCTTTTGCCGAACTTCAATTCAACAACTACCATTTTATCTTTCCCTCCCATCTTCTCAGACACAGAGGCGAATCAACGAGCTCCAGCGAAAGATTTTTCAACGTCAACAGGGTTGCCATAGAACACGCAATCATGCCAAAAACCAGCACAGAACACATATCGCCACATTTGGTGAAATTAGGACGTATATTAGAGTTGTACCGATGTAAATTGCCCAAAGCTAGGTAATCCCAAAAGTATTTTTATAGGTCAGAATTCTTGTTGTGCACAATTGCTGATTATGATGACCTATGGTCATAATCATCTTCCTATTACAATATCTTCATATACATAAATAATTATATTATGAGTATGTTATGGTAATATGAATAACATTAATAATTTGTAGGGGAAGGTGTGTATTTAAATAATGTGTTTGATAGTTATTACACTAAAAGCATATTAAATGCTTAATTTAGTATGTTTTGTATATTTTGCTTAATTTAGTTGTTTACTTTTTTTCAAAAATTATAATAAGCGAAATACAACATAAAGTTTAAAATTCAGACCTCCAATAAATTTTGTTTTTTATTAATTGCCATTTTCTCACATATTGTAAGGATGGAGCGTATGATATTTAAGGGAAAGCAAGAATGCTGCAAACCAATTTCCCCCCTGCTTGATTAACTGAGATGTCATTTGCTGAAAAACATTATCTGCTGCAGAATGTTTAAATTTCTGCACTGCTGCAAATTAAAAAAATTATCAGTGGACAGCGACAGTAGTTCGGGTACTTTTTGATTTTATCGGTGATCCCAATGACAAGTACTTAAAAAAAGTGCTTGTTTGCTATATCCTTAGGTGATAAATTCTGCTAAACGGTGATTAATTGCTAGGCTCTGGCATAACTGTGGTATACCAAAGTATTTTGTTGCAAAAGGATCTCATATGAAGGTGGATGTGTTTTGACATCTGTAAATCTAAGGACTTGTGGCCTTAATCCCTGAACATTTAGCATGTAGCAGTAAAATGAGTCATGTAGTAAAAAGTATAGCAAGATTTTACTTTATATAGTCAGATTAAAGTTTTGAAAGTGCAAGAGCAGATTTTAATTTTCCCGTTGTCATAAAATATTTATATTTTTTCCTACTTTTTAAACATGTATGCTGACAATGTATTTCTAGAATTTATTAAAAATGTCTTTGGTCTTACATTTACAGGTAAAATGAATCAGAAAATTGTATTTTTGGTTTATTTCATTTCTTTTGAAATTTACCTTTTCATCTTGTATTATTTTTTTGCAGGTTTTAATTTAAGAAGAGTTTAGAAATGTCTGTGCAAGAAAAGCTAGTATATCCTCCTGGTGTGCGAGACATAACAGAAGACGTTTCGACTGATGATTTGGTTCGCCGTTTGAAAGTATGTTTAAAACATTACACTTTATTTTACTTTGAAATAAGTTCATTTTCTTTTATTATTCATGCTAAATTTGAGTTTTCAACATAAATTTAATTTAATTATTAAATGGCCAAGGGTTTGGCCCTGAATTACTGAAGTTTCCTGGAAGATCATGAGTAAGTGATATTTTTTTATTATAATTTCAAAATGACTCTCCCACTTTGTACCTTGACTCCTTTTGTCTCATAAATGTACTATCTGAAATATCGGCTTATTTCAAGGTGCATGTGTGTGAACTTAAAGGTATCATGATAAATATTTCCTTATACAGTCAAAAGTCGTTAATCCGGACTCGTCGGGACTTCGGCGATTCCGGATTATCGATTTTTCCGGATTATAGATCATCAGTTTAAATCTGGTAAAATGGCATGCAGAAATTATAAAATTAAAAATATGAAACTGTAATTTACGAAATAAAGAACAATTATGATCTAAAGGGTATCAAAATTTACAAAAAAAAAAAAAAAAAAAAAAAGGTTTAATATTTATTTGTTTACTTTATTAAACATTTCTTTCAATGTAAGTTGTTTAACTCTTTCGCATCGAGAGACGACCAAATCTGTTTTCAACAAACATCGAAAACGCCCGTGTTTACGAATTTGTCTTGGAATAGTTTACTTTGCCCCTGGAATAGGTTTCATTCCATTGTGTGCAGTTTCACCTTAGGGCCGGATTGCACCTGCGAACGTCAATAGCTTTCCGTATTTCTCCTTTATTTGCTTCAAAAGAATGATTGACATGTCTTTTAACAACTCGCGAAACTAATGAGCCATACAATAACGTGGAGGGGAAAGAACTGGGTAGAAAATAAACGAGGCGTTGGGGCGGTTTGCTGTTGCCTGAATGAACGGGCGACTTCAATGCGAAAGAGTTAAGTTGCTTCGTTTTTTATGTGATAATACATTCTCTTTAATTCCATAAACAAACATAATTTCTTGTTCAGTTACAAAGTTCCGCTGTTCAAGTCCTATAATTGCTGTGTCGAGAATACCGACTAATTTGTCAATCGAAATTTTTTCGTTTTCAATAACCTCTGTCACTTTCTTCGCTATCGGAAGCGAATTATAATGACGAGGTATTTGATTTAAATCATATCAAAGACGGAGTACATCGAGAGGAAATACCACATTTAGTAAGCAATTATAAGCCAAATAAAATAACATCCGCCCTGAAGATAAGGATAGTGCTGACAGATTAACTGCCAGTTCATTACGCCCCCCCCTGCAGAAAGTGAATTGCGTGAAATTGATAAACAGATTTCGGAATGGTTAGAGAAACAAAGGATATGCCTTTATCCATTTTTTGCAGCAATTCCACTTTTTGTTTGATATACATCGAAACATGCTTTCGCTTTGTAGATCCTTTGGCAGCTCCAGAGTTGGAAATTCTTTTTGACTTAATCGAAAGTTCAAGCTTACTTTTATAAAATTGCACTAACAGTCTTAAAAAAATAATAAGCCGAATCCAATTAAGAAGATTAAGGAACAACGCAATCTGCAACATTAACTGAAATAGATAATTAGATAATTTTAGCTTATCTTATACCGTCCGTTATATATTAAACACGCATGCGTAAACGAATTATGCGCATGCGTTGATGCATGCACGGAAAGTTTGTAGCTTTGAAGTCCGGATTATAGATCATTCCGTATTATGGACGTTCGGATGAAAGACTTTTGACTGTATATACCTACTTGGCTTAAACTCAACTTGTTAGTTTGGCATTATAATTCTTACTTGAGTTAAAGACGAAACACCTTCGCATTAATTAATTATTGTGAATTGATTGGGTTTGGTTGTTCCCCTTGAAAAGACAACCAGTTTCCGATCAATGATGATAATTACTTCGTTAATTGATTATTACTCTTTCATTTATAAAAGTTTTCATTTTCAGTTTTGCATGATTCATATTTAATGTTTCATTTTAACAATTTTCAATATTCATTTTTAAATACTTATAAGTTACTTCATTCGGCTAAAATTCTACTACCTTTGTCAAAGGGATAATACACTCAATAATCCATTAGTAAATATATATATAGTACATACACAGTTTGTATGCTTGGAAATTTAATATGAGAATAACTGTTAAACAGAATATGGTAATGTTATTTTAATACAATTTTGTCACATAATTTTCGCATACAACTTGGATTCATTTGTAGTCAATGTCCTGTGTACTTTATATCCTTTGTTAATTTTATTCATTTTGTTGGAATCTAGAAAGGAATATTTTTTTAGGGCAATAAAATTTTGTGTTCTGTGTTTAAATAGTTTCTAATTAGCCGCATCAATGGAATGCCTTTTCTAATTTGAAATGTATTTTTAAAATTCAGCAGTGCAGAATGAGTTTAAAGTCTTCTCAGTATGCTCAAATCTGATCTAATCAGTATCGCTTTAAAACTCCAAAATTATATAGATAATTTGTCTTCCCAAATTAAATAAGAGAATCAGTGTATGAAATTAATACAGCAGATTTAAAAGGGGCTCATTAACACTTTAATATTCAATTTGGCTATCTTTAGAATATGGTAACAGGTAGTTTGGCGAGATTTTGGTAAGGCGATAAAGGTTACTAGCTAGGACTTTAGCATTGTACATGGATAAGTTCAAGAGTGTGCGCAATGCCATTTTTGTGCAATTCTGGGATGTTTTTTTAAGTGAAAATAGGTTAATGTGTACGTGGATACCGTGTATGTGCAATTCTTAAAAACGCGGCAAGCAGTGGGTGATTCTGCACTTTCTCCCAATTTCACACCTAATCTTCGTAATGATTAAGCACTTTTGTTCCATAAAAGTTCTAGCATAAGTGTAATTCGGCTAGCAGATTGTTGAAAAAATATATTGAGTAAAAAAAAAAAAAAAATAGCAGGTTGCTGTAGCAGGGTTTGTCTCCGAAAAATCGCCAAGTTACCATAATCCGAAGATTAGCCTTCAATTTTTACGTGACCCACTGTAAACTTGGTAAATTTCTTGGCTTCATGAATATTATGCTGTATTTAATATAATAGTAGATAATGTGTTTGAGAGCGAGTCTCAGCAGATCACAGTATGGTGGCTGCTCTACTACTTAACACCCAGACAATTACCTAAGTCGTCTACAGACAATTTGGAGCCTGCACATCACACCTGGACTGTATGGATTTCGAAGCGAGAGGACCACATAGTATCAGTGGCCCTTTGATTGCTCTGAGTCGAATAGGCCTTGTTGCCAGAGTAAACAGACAGATTAAAAAAAAAAACAAAAAAACTGAAATTTAGTGTTACTAAATCGGGTCTGAAGACATTTGATTTGCCTTACCAGCATTTCAGATTGCTGTAAAATCTTCCATGTTACAAACTGTTTACATGCTTACATGTAAATTTTTATTTTAAGCTAAGCAAGAAACTTGAGATATTTAAAAATATGAAGTAGAATGTAATTAGTATTCATAATTAACTGAATGGCTATCTTAAGTCAGGAAAAAAGGCATCTTTTTTCACCCCTTTTTTTCGTTTCTTTGTTTCTCTTTTTGGGGGAGGGGGCTGCGTGTGTGAAAAATATTTTTAGTTTAATGCGACTGATCAGAGTCCGATTACATGTCCCACTCTCTTGTAATTTGAATGTTTAGAAATCATTAAATTCCTTTAATCACACTGTGAGAAAAGCTCAGTTTTTAAAAGTTGAAATTAATTCTGTTCTATGCGAAATTCAAGCAAGTTATTCTGTTGCATCATTTATTATGCATTGGATCACTGCTGCCTTTAATATTAAAGATTATCTGGTCATATGTATGTAAGTTAAAAGAGTTAATTTCTTTTGAGTGATTTTAAAAGCAATTTATCCAGTAGAACAGTAAAATGCTAGGCAAGAAGAAATGATGATGAATAATGATCTGTGAGATGCAGGTTAACAATATAGTGAAAGAAATAAAATATAATCATGCATAATCTGTAATTAATATCATTATACAAATTCAAGCCAGATATTGTATTGAACAAAACGTTGTTGATAAAAGGATATTGTTTTGGTCAGGTATCACAAAACAGGTAGTATGCAATTTAATTATGGATAAGATTATGATTTTTCAGTTTCAAGATGGTTTGAAAGTACTTCTCATTCAGTAGAACATGAATTTTAAATTCTAAATCTTTGTCTTATTAGCTAACAATATATGCTAAATGCACTATATTCAACCCAAGAGTTTCTCCATACAAATATAGACTGATAAGTCATATTTTCATAAACTGAACGATACTTGTTAAAAACTTTCTGGTGCTTTGCTTATTAACACCAAGTCTTCGGGCCTATATACAGCATTCTTTGGGTGCCCCTCTGCTCATTTTTCTTGTTTTCACGAAAAATTGTTGTTATGAGAATATAATTTAGCGATTCCTTACCTATATTAATTAATTATAAACGTATAATTAATGATGAGTATCGATGCCATCTTACTGCCTTTCATTGTCAATATAATATTCAATGAATTATTTAAAATTGAAGTTCACAGAACTTTAAATATAGGCCTTTTTTTAATGGTTGTTCATAGTCAAACACCAGTGTTAATCTTACAAATGCATTCAACGTAGGATTAGCTAACTCTGATTTATAATTAAGTGAAATTTGTTACATGCATTTTCCTTTTGCAGTTTGTTTCAATACATAGTGGGTGCAATAAAATGCAACTTCGTAAATTTTAAATGATTAATTTAAAATGTAATTTTCTGTCCTTTATGAAATAAAGACAATTATGATCTAAAGGGTATCAAAATTTACAAAAAAAAAGGCTTAATATTTATTTGTTTACTTTATTAAACATTTCTTTCAATGTAAGTTGTTTAAGTTGCTTCGTTTTTTATGTGATAATACATTCTCTTTAAAATTCCATAAACAGACATAATTTCTTGTTCAGTTACAAAGTTCCGCTGTTCAAGTCCTATAATTGCTGTGTCGAGAATACGGACTAATTTGACAATCGAAATTTTTTCTTTTTCAATAACGTTCTCTGTTACTTTCTTCACTATCGGAAGTGCGCATGGGTAAACGCTTTACTGGCTTTATGCGCATGTGTAAATGCATTACGCGCATGTGTAAGTTTGTGGCTTTGAGGTCCGGATTATGGACTTCAAAACGACGTAAAATTTTGTTTAATGCTTTCTCAAATTTGCTGATAACAGTAAAAAGTCGTTAATCCGGACTCGTCAGGACTTCGGCGATTCCGGATTATAGATCATCAGTTTAAATCTCGTAAGATGGCATGCAGAAATTCTAAAATTAAAAATATGAAACCGTAATTTATGAAATAAAGAACAATTATGATCTAAAGAGTATCAAAATTTACAAAAAAAAAAAAAAAAAAAAGCTTAATATTTATTTGTTTACTTTATTAAACATTTCTTTCAATGTAAGTTGTTTAAGTTGCTTCGTTTTATGTGATAATACTTTCTCTTTAATTCTATAAACAGACAATTTCTTGTTCAGTTACAAAGTTCCGCTGTTCAAGTCCCGTAATTGCTGTGCGGAGAATACCGACTAACTTGTCAATCGAAATTTTTTCGTTTTCACTAACCTCTCTGTCACCTTCTTCATGTCTTTATCCATTTTTGGCAGCAATTCCACTTTTTATTTGATGGACATCGAAACATACTTTCACTTTGTAGATCCTTTGGTAGCTCCAGTATCGGAAATTCTATTTGACATAATTGAAAGTTCAAGTTTAGTTTTATAAAATTGCTCTTACAGTCTGAAAAAAGTAATAAGCCGGATCCAGTTCGAAGATTAAGGAACAACGCAATCATCAACATTAACTGAAATAGATAATTAGATAATTTTAGCTTATACCGTCCGTGATACATTAAACGCGCACGCGAAAACGTATTCTGCACTTGCACACACGCATATGTGCAGTCATAAAGGTCTTATGCGCAAGCGTAAACGCCTATGCACATGTGTCAATGCGGCGCATGCGCAGAAAGGTTTTAGCTTTGAGGTCCGGATTATAGATCATTCCGGATTATGGGTGTCCGAATTAACGACTTTTGACTGTAATGCGTATGGCTTTGTTTGAGAATGTAAGTAATATTTTATTAGTAAAGCCAAGCGTAACATAAATAATTTTTATCAAATTTTCATTTTTATTACTTTAGTGCAGTGACTAAAATAATCATGTTATCATTTTGTTTAAGTCAGTGGAACTATTTCAGAAATTCTGATCCATTTAGATAGTTCTGTTAGGCATACACTGAAGAGCCAAAATATTATGACCACCAAGTCAGTAATGCATTGTGTGACCTTTGGCCTGTAAAACACCTGCAACTTGCCTTGACATGGATGCAGAAAGTTCTTTGTAGATGATTGGAGACAGGCTGTACCAAATGTCTAAGCAGTGGTCATGCAAAGTTGAGATATTCCATATTCCAAGGTGGTGGTGTTTGACCTCTGAGTTGCCGCTCCATGACATCCCAAATATCCTCTATTGGGATAAGATCTGGTGAATTAGGTGGCCAGGACATTAATTGGAATTCATCCTTATGCTCCTCGAACCACTCCAACACAATTCGAGCCTTGTGACATGGGGCGTTGTCCTGCTGGAAGATTCAATTTCAATTTAGGAAGCCAGATGCCATGTAAGGATGCAACAATCCACAATTAGGTTCAAATAGTCTGCAGCTTTCATTGTTGGTTCTATCACAGCTAAGGGTTCTAGACCTACTCGTGAAAACTTCCCCCAATCCTGGGCCCATTGTAGGCGTAGTTGACAATGAAACTTCGTCTACAGAAGCATATGAGTAGGATGTCTGCTGCTCAGTCCCATATCCAACAGTGTCTGCTGAACTGTGTGTTCTTAATACTTGCAGTTACCCTGCATTGTATTGAGCTGTCAGCAAAATCACTGTCTGGCACGATTTTGCTGTACCAAGTGAGACAGTCTCTGATGTCCTTTTTCTTTGATGACCTATGGATGTCCAACACCTTGGAGTCTACTTCTGGTTTCACCATGGTTTATCCACTTAATAAAAATATTAACAGCGGCAGATCAAGAACAACCTACCATTCGTGCAGTTTCGGAGATACTCCTTCCGAGTCTTCTGGCAATTCCAGCCTTGTGACAATTCAATTTGACAAAAGGCAGATGCCTGAGACAATCTGCTGTTTGTCAAATTTGCTTAGATCAGCAGCCTTTCTCATCACTTTCAAAAGAAAGTGCAAGAATAATTCCTTACCTACTTCAACAGCAGTTAAATACCATTACCACTTAGTCATGTGCCCTGCATGTCATCCAGATGTGTTCATTGAAAAATATGGGGATGGTTATAATGTTTTGGCTCATCAGTTTAGTTTATCTTAGCATTCAAGTTTAGTGAGTATCCATTAAAGTTATTGCTTGATATTCATTGGCGTCTGGAAGCAAGAATGAAATTCTTGGATATGACATTCCTTCAGTTTAAACAGTGTGCTTAGATTTGGCTTTTTGCTCATAGAACTTGCAGTTCTAGGAGGAAGATTTTGGTTGGGTATTTGCAATTTTGAATAACTAATTATACTGCTCAAAATCTTCTAGTTTGCAACCATTTTATTCCTGACTTCATTTTTGTTTCTTTATTAGTAAATTTTTAAACTTCAACAAGTATTACATTTATTTTATGTTGATGCAGTCAAAAATCTTTAATCTGGACGTCCATAATCTGGAATGACCTATAATCCGGACCTCAAAGCTACAAACTTTCTGCGCATATGGATCTACGCATGCGCGTTTAATGTGTAACGGACGGTATAAGCAGCTAAGCTAAAATTATCTAATTATCTATTTCAGTTATAAGCTTGAACTTTCGATTATGTCAAAAAGAATTTCTGATTCTGGAGCTACCAAAGGATCTACAAAGCAAAAGCATGTTCCGATGTCCATCAAGGCATATCCTTTGATTCTCTAATCATTCCGAAATCTGTTTATCAATTTCACGCTGCTCTGTGGGGGGGGGGACGCGGCGCGCAATTAACTGGAAGTTGATCTGTCAGCACTATACTTATCTTCAGGGCAGATGCTTTTATTTTATTCAGCTTATCAATATCTTAAAGTATCACAACACAGCGAATTCAATAATCTAAAATTTTTTGCTTATTTTATAACAGTGTTTTGATATTAATGAGATTTTCTAATTACTGTGTCATTGTGTTTCTGATTATCAGTATTGGTGGTGGTTATTAAGTTCTTTATTTCAAAATTATTAAAACTGTTATATGATATTGTTTTATTTATTTTAGGAATGTGCTCATGCTTTTCAGAACATGAGTCAGGATGATGATAATTCTGCTTATATACCATTAGCTCTTCATCTGGCTTCTGAGACATTTTTGGAACACCGCAGCCGTGATGTCCGTCTTCTGGTAGCGTGTTGTATAGCTGATGTATTTCGTGTGTATGCTCCTGAAGCTCCTTATAAGGATATTACTCAACTTAAGGTTTCACACACACACACACACATATATATATAATCATGAGATTTTAGATTTGAAATTAAATATTTAGTTTGTTCCAAGAATCTAAAGTTTCCTAAAGTCTGTTCTATGTTTATTTGCAGGATATATTTGAATTTTTTGTGGATCAAATGAAAGGTTTAGAAAATCCTCAAAATCCATCCTTCAAGCGTTATTTTTATCTTTTAGAGGTACATAGATTTTTTTAATCCCTCAGTTTTTAAAGTTTATTCATTTTCATAAAATAAATATGTATGTGTATGTAGTAAAACTTTTTTTTTTTCATTTGCAGAATCTTACATGTGTTAAAACATTTAATATTTGTTTTGAATTAGAAGATAGCCAAAAGATACTGTGTCGCCTCTTTCATCTTATGTTTAAAATAATCAAGTTTGTATTCATTGATCATTTTCTTTTCTTGTTTATTATGTATATTGTTATTTCCTTTGAATATACTGATGGGAAAAAAAAATCCCAACAACAAGAAGGAGTTGTGCTAGATAAATGGAACTTGGTAGGCATGTTTATACATCTGAAAGATGATGCCTATTCAAATTTTGTGCATAAGTGTGGCGCTAGTAGTTTCATTATGAACATGCAAATCAGGTTTGCTTTAAATATGCACTGTAAAGTTCGTGAGCATTATTTATCATTGAGATTTGATGTTGTGAGTGGATGTTAGTCAAGATTGCTTTTAAGAAGACGAAAAAGCCATTATAAACAGTTCAGTGAATTTGAACGAGGCTGTGTAATAGAGCTACGAGAATGTGGATTTTCTTTCCACAATATTGCAGAAAGACTTGGTAAGAATGTATCCACTGAGCAAGATTATTAGCAGCAATTGTCAAGGGAAGGTATTGTCTCAAGAAGACCAGATTTCAGGTGGCCACATAGCACTAGTGAGAGGGAAGACCATCATGTTTAGCATATGGCTGTGGTGCATTGTACTGCATCTGCATCAGAAATTTGTGTTGCAGTTAACACCACAGTGAACAATAAACTGTTACAAATCGGTTACTTAAAGGATAACTCTGAACCAGACATCTCGTAGCATGCATTCCATTAACTCCAAACCACAGCTGTTTACGATGTTTGCTTTGATGCCAATGATGGCTCTGTATTGGTTAGAAGGAGGCCAAGTGAGTGCCTGCAATCAACCTGTCTGTGATCTAAACACACTGGACCTACACCTGGAGTTATTATCACTGAGGAGCAGTTTTGTATGACAGCAGGAGCATTCTCTTGGTTATCCCACACACCCTGACTGTGAATTTGTATATCAGCCTGGTAATTCAACTTGTTCAGGTGCCATTCGTGAACGGCATTCAAGGGGGGGTTCCAGGTGTCACGCTCGTACCGCTATTGTAACCCATCATGCTCTACAGCAAGGATGTCAAACTCGCGGCCTACAACAAATATTTTTGCGGCCTGGCCGATATATTGGCAAAAAATAATATATAATAATAAAATAACATATCGACGAAGAAAAAAATGAAATGTTTACTGCTAAGTAATTAACGATAATTTATTCAGTGTTGTTAGATTACTCACAGCGAGCTGACACACACACTACTTAAATTACAAATGCGTGTGAGTAGCTTGCGTTCAGCTACCTTCGGCTTTTGGGGGACACGTGCACTCAGAACTTGTACGCATAACCCGATAGCCGAATGTGGCCGAACTCAAGGTCTCAGTTTTCCAATCATAGTTTTGTACGATATATTGGTGCATGCACTTTGCTTTATTATTAATTATTACTTAATTCATATTGTTACAGATTTCATAGTTATTTATTTATTTAGTTTTTTTTTTTTTTTTTATTAGAATTGTAATAGATTTGCTTCATGTTGCCTTAGCAACGCAGACGATTTTGAAACGACAGCTGTGTTGGAAGGTTAAAAATAGAACAGCGCGTGCATTTAATACAGAATAAATAAATATCTCGTAATTGCTGTGCATCCACAAAAATCCAGATATTTCTAGATGTTTCCAGTATATTCGAGAAATTAATTATAAAGCTTAAAAAGCCGAGAACAAACACAACTCGTCTTAGTAGTAGCTGTAGTTCTAGCGAACTGTTTGTTTACTTAATGCTGTGATTGATTTGTAGCGATTTCGCTGTGAGATAGAATTAGTTTCTCTGTTTTGAATTGATTTTTTGCTAAACGTTTGACATTTTGTGATATTGTTAGAATATTTTTGAAGAAATATTTCAGCATTTTGATTATCTCTTGTGAAAAGAATAAATTTTTGTTAACTTTTTAACGTTAACCATGTTATTCCAGCCCTTGTATTCAGTATGTCTATATCAATACCAAGTGGTAGTAAAATTAAACGAAAAATCGCTGACGAACCTAGAATATTCCAAGTAAAATGGGAATTAGAATATTTTTGCTGTGAAATAAAAGATAAATAATCTGCTTGATATGTAATAATACTATTAATGTACCAAAGTTATATAATATTAAACGTCTTATGACAACACAAATCGAAATATAACAATTACGAAGGATTAATGAGAAAGAAAAGTTGAAAGAGCTCAAGTTAGGAGTGAAAAAGCAACAGTCCATGTTTAGTAAAGTATTGCAAGAAAGTGAAGCGGCGGTACATGCAAGCTACGTCTTGTCCGAGTTGATAGCTAAACATTCGAAGCCTTTTACTGACGGTGATTTTATCAAAGAATGCCTAATGAAAGCTGGAGAAATTGTTTGTCCTGGAAATGTAAAGGCTTTTCAATCAATTTAATTGTCTCGAAATACAGTTGCGGAAAGAGTTACTGATTTAGCCGCGAATTTAAGTGATCAGATCAAAGCAAAATCATCAAGTTTCGAAAGTTTCTCCATTGCCTGTGACGAGAGCACGGACATTAGTGGCAAAGCTCAATTAGCAGTGTTCCGTCGTTCTTGTGACAAGAATTTTAACATTTTTGAGAAATTACTGGAACTAATACCGATGCCTGGTACTACCACAGGAGAAGATATATTTACTTGTGTTTTTGGACTTCTGCAGAAATACAATCTACCTTTTGCAAAATTAAATTCTGTAGCTACAGATGGCACCCATCAATGACTGGGAAAAACAAGGGCTTCATAGCATTACTAAGAAAAAAACTTAGTGAAATTCACGGTTCAAACATTCATCATATGCATTGTATTATACATCAAGAAGTTCTATGCATGAAAGTAATAAATATGGAGAATGTTTTGTCATATACAGTCAAAAGTCTTTAATCCGGACTCGTCGGGACTTCGGCGATTCCGGATTATCGATTTTTCCGGATTATAGATCATCAGTTTAAATCTGGTAAGATGGCATGCAGAAATTATAAAATTAAAAATATGAAACCGTAATTTATAAAATAATGAGCAATTATGATCTAAAGGGTATCAAAATTTACCAAAAAAGAAGCCTAATATTTATTTGTTTACTTTATTAAACATTTCTTTTAACACGCGGATGCGTAAAGCATACCTTACACATAGCCGAAATTAGAAAATTGCAACCAGAAAACTATTTGATTTGTATTCGTGATATTTATAATGACGAGGAATTTGATTTAAATCATATCAAAGACGAAGTACATCGAAATTAAATACTACATTTAGTAAGGAATTATAAGCCGAATAAAATAAAAACATCTGCCCTGAAGATAACGATAGTGTTGACAAATCAACTTCCAGTTCATTGCTCGGCAACGTCCCACCCCCGCGCAGAGCAGCGTGAAATTGATAAACAGATTTCGGAACGGTTAGATAAACAAAGAATATGCCTTTATCCATTTTTTGTAGCATTTCGTTTTTTGTTTGATGGACATCGAAACATACTTTCGTTTTCTAGATCCTTTGGGAGCTCCAGCATCGGAAATTCTATTTGACATAATCGAAAGTTCAAGCTTACTTTAGAAAATTGCTCTATAAGCCGGATCCAATTCGAAGATTAAGGAACAACGCAATCATCAACATTAACTGAAATAGATAATTAGATAATTTTAGCTTATACCGTCCGTTATACATTAAACGCGCACGCGAAAACGTATTCTGCATTTGCGCAGACGCATATGCGCAGTCGTAAATGTCTTGGGCGCACGAGTAAAACGCCTATGCTCATGTGTCAATGCGGCGCATGCACAGAAAGGTTTTAGCTTTGAGGTCCGGATTATAGATCATTCTGGATTATGGGTGTCCGAATTAATGACTTTTGACTATATAAAAAAAGTTATAAATTTTATAAGATCTCGAGGTTTAAATTAGCGTCAATTTACTGCTTTCTTAAGTGAATTAGATAGTGAATATTCGGGTTTGTCCTACTATACCAGATGTATGTTGGTTATCTTGCTCCAAGATTCTCAACACAATTCCAGGATTTGAAAGAAGAAATATACCAGTTTTTAAAAACGAAAAATCAAGACGTAAGTTTGTTTTACGATCCAATTCGGATACAAGATTTATCTTTCTTGGTTGATATAACCAAAACACTTAACCGATTTAAATTTATCGTTACAAGGAGAAGATCATATCATTACGAACATGTTTGACATAAATTAAAGCATTCAAATGTCAACTAGTTCTTCGGGAAAAAGAACTTAAAAATGAAGATTTGACGCACTTCTGACGTGCAGCATGAATAAATCAAGTTTAGATGATACTTGTTCGTATCAAAAATTGCAAATTTAACAACTGAATTTGAAACGAGGTTTAATGATTTTAGTTCCCTCGAAGACAAATTTTTTTTGTTTTCTTCGATTTTCTCAATAAGTATTGACTCAGTACCCAGCCATATGCAAATGGAGGTGATCGAGATTCAATGCAACTCAAATTTGAAAGCAAAATTCATTGAAGTGGGCGTGCCTGAATTTTACAAATATTTACCAGCCAGGTTTGAAAATACTCGAAAATTCGCATATGAAATTATTTCCATGTTTGGTAGCACTTATCGGTGCGAGCCGCCTAAAGTTTTTTGCGGCCCGCCTAAAGTTAAACCTTGTTTGTTTGGCCCAAGTGTACCTATGAGTTTGACATCCCTGCTCTACAGAGTGTTTACATGTTACCTTGGCCTGCTAGATCACCAGATCTTGCTCCAGTCGAGCATGCATGGGACATCATTTTATGATGACAACTTCAGCATTAATCGTCCCTCGTTTAACCGTCCAAGTGCAATAGAACTCCGTCCCTCAAACTGACATCTAGTACCTGTGCAGCACAATGCATGCATGTTTGCATGCTTGCATTCAAAATTCTAGTGGTTACACTGGTGATAATGTATCAGCATTTCACATTTGAAATGACATTGGTATTCTTGCACTTTCATTAACCTGAGATCTTGGAAATTTAATCAATTAAATATGTTACTTAGACAAATGCATTGCCGAAATTTCATGAGTGCAGTAATTTTTTCTTGATATTGGGTTTTTTTCCCCCAAACAGTATATACTAGAAGTTTATTCGAAATATGGATTTAAAATATGAAATTCAGAGATATAAATAGGGTTTAATTTTATTCGCTAAGTTCATGTTTTAAAATAAATACTGCCTTTTTTTATGAAGTTTATATAATGTTAAAGGATTATTTTTATCATGAAATTTCTTTAGTGTGTATTTTTCTAAGTATTAACAGTTTGAATCTGAGCAATAAATTGTTAGTATGCTGTTATTTTGCTGAGCTGCTAGAGGGGAAAAAAGCAACAACTGTACAATACTTCAGATTAACATATTTATCTTTGGGATATATAGTGGATCAGCTTCTAAATAGTGATTAATATTTTTGTTAGGCTCAAAATGCTTAGCCTCTTTGAGCAAAACAATCTAGGTAAATAAACTAAAACCCATGTTTAAATATTATATAGGTAAGACCTTTAGAGGGCTCATCTGCTTTGTCAGCCAGAATCTGAATGAATGGCTTGATCAAGTTCCCCCTTTTTTTATTACTGTCTCACGCAGAGTTTCTTTGTAAGATTACTGTAATTTTGAGGATCAACATTTGCATGTTTGGGAGATTTAAAGAAAGATCACTATTGGAACATGGTCTTGTGGCAGTTATTAAAACGTCTCTTAAAGATAGCTTTCGTGCGGAGGTTTTTTGTTGATTTAAGCTTTGTACTATTCAGTTACTAAGTTCATGTATTTCAAGTAGCATTTTTCTAAAGATTACCATTTTCTTTTTTTATTGATTGGCAGAAAAATATCTTTCTTATGCTTGAAAATTTTGATTGAGAATTTTGTAGATGTCAAAATGATGAACCAAGTTTTCATGTTTTTATTTTCATTGCAAATAAGGAAATGTACACATCTGATGTATATGTTGTGCTTGTGTTTGATTAGTCTATTTTCAGTAGTTCTCAGACAGATTCGGATTATAGCTAGTTTAACAAGTGTGACCTATCGTAAGCTCATTAACAGAATTCAAGTATCCACTCATAAAAATTAATTAATATGCTTTCCACTGGTTCTTATATCGGTAACAACTTTACATTTTATAAGTTATGATTTTATTGCTAAATTTTCCAACAAAGGCAACTGGGTATATATTGTTTGTTGCAATATGCATGATGTACTTTCATTCATTTTGGTGCAGCACAGGTTTAGAACAGAATTCTGTTAAATGTCTTAAATAAAAGTAATTAAATCAACTACTACCAGCTGATTTATGTGGATAGAATGTCAAAGGCTCATATGGGACTATTTCTAGGATGTCAGCCGATTTATACTACCAATAGTAGGAAAAATATCGGTGGTTCCTAAAATCAGAAGATACAGGAATTAAATAATATTATTAACGTCTTTTTTAATCATAAACTGCAAATTAGGAAAGTTTTCTGAAATAAATGAGAAACGTACTTAAGTCCATTGTCTGGATATTTCCATAGGACAAAGATGTATTTTTTCATCAATGTCTCTCTCCCTCTCTCTCTTTTTTTTTTAATGTTTTTGGGAACTTAGTAAAAACTTTTTGCATAATGCATGTAAATTTCACTCAAAAAATCTGATGTGTACGCAACATGACTTCCTTGTACAGAATATTAAATTATACGAATTTTTTTGCTGCACTTCATTTAAACATATCTCATTAGAGATAGATTTCTCATTCAATTAATTTGACCTCAGGGGCTCACTTTTGTGAGTACGGGTGTGGCAATCCCGAGGTACCCTAGCCCTTCAGGGGGATCATCTTCTTGGTGAGACGGGTGTCACGATCCTGGAGCCCCAGTGATCTATCCTCTTGGCTGAAACTTTTTCCGTTCCCTTCTCCCTTGTGGTTTCTCTCTTCGGAGTTTGGGGCTTGTCACGAGAGACTGGAACAGCCCTTGTCTCTAGTTTTCGAGTGGTGAGAAAACTGCCCACGTGTTTGCCGTGCGTGGAGACCTGTGTTGCTGGAAAGGAGGGTCCTGGTAGTTGAGGGGCGAGGTACTGTTCCCAACACAACGCTTTGGCCTCTGCCTCAGCTAAACGGGAGGCACCTTAGTCGTCTTCACTGGTGTCAATCGGCTGGTCACTAGTCCTTGTGGTCAGTGGCTTGGGGATAAGCTCTCGAGAGTACCTGCTTTCGAGAAAGCCGACTGTGGGGCTTCAGTTTGCGTGTTAGTCCGTCTAGCCCTAACACAGGAATCTGTGTTCCCTTGTTGGGTTCCGTGGTGGGCGGGGCCATCAGACCCGAATTTTTTCTCTTTCAATCATGGCTTCTCTCTTTATCCTTAAAAAAACCGAGTCAAATGAAACCAACCAACATATCGAAATTGTCGACAAATCCATCAACAAGAAGATCCGTATTGATGCAAATGCCAAAGATGTTGAAATTGTTAACAAAACCATTCCCAAGAAGATCCGTACCAAAGCAAATGCCAAGGAAACTACTGAAAATTCACGCTTCCTTGTTGTCTTTAGTCCTTCTGGTGAACTGCAAAAGATGTCTCCTTTTCTCGTAAGCAAATGTATGCATTCATGTATAGGTGAGCCAAGGAACATAAAGCTTCTGCGATCAAGAGACCTGTTTATTGATACCATATCGACCACCCAATCTGCTTCTCTTTCTCGACAAACCAAACTTGGAGAAATATCTATGACTGTGTCAGCGCACAAAACACTTAATTCTTGTAGAGGTGTTATCTCGGAGATCGACCTTCTGTGTGTCTCAGAAGAAGAGTTCATCTCCGAGTTAGCTGACCAAAATGTCTGTGGTGCTAGGCGGATCAAGATGTGTAAAGAAGGTAAGTTGATCGATACGAAACACGTGATCCTTACCTTCAACACGCCTGATCTGCCCAAGAATATTAAGGCGGGATACTTAAATTGTCCTGTAAGACCTTATATTCCAAACTCTATGCGATGCTTTCAATGCCAGCGTTTCGGCCATTCTAAGGCTGCCTTGTCGTGGCAGCCTCACATGCGTTCGATGCTCACAGATTGGCCACGATTCTGAAAATTGTACTGCTGCGTCTTGTGTATAAATTGTAAGGGTGAGACTCAGCATTTTCACGCCTGTGCCCAAAATGGAAATCAGAAAAGGAAGTCAGACTGCAAAAGTTACCAGGAACATCTCGTATGCTGAAGCCAGAGAAAACTAGTTCAAAGCACACAGCTCCAATCAAACAAATCATATGCCAGTGCCGTTAAAACAACACGTACCATTGCCACCCAAACATCAATAGGCACACAGACTGTACCAAATAAAACCCAACCGACTACATCCAACAAGAAAAAGGGAAATCCAACTCATTTAATAAAAAATAAAAAAAAAAGAAACAGTCATTCAAAGTAAACCCAAAACGGACACACAAAAAATATTAAATAAAAATAGAAGTCTCAGCAATGGCTCTATTGATGAAATGATTTCTGAATCTGCGGATTCAGACAGTATGGAAGTAAAAGAGGGTCTAGAAGTTCCCAGGCATCTACTTCCACAAAAAACTAAACAACAGCACAGAAAAAGAACCAATCCTAATGGCCACCCTCGTCTCATGGAACTGTCGCGGTTTCCACCGAAATTTGCTTGACATCAAAGCTATAATAAATGCGTATCATCCTGTGTGCTTAGCAATACAGGAAACAAATCTGAAACCAGAACAACATGCAAAACTTTGGAGGTCTTCTTTTGTCAGGAAGGATAACCTTGCAGGTGAGCGTGCCAGTGGAGGCATAGGTCTCCTCACCTCACTGGATTATACATCAAATGTACTTTCTTTGACGACATCCCTCCAAGTTGTCGCTACTCAAACGAATTTTGATATTATTGTTTCATTTGTTTCTCTGTATTTGCCTCCAAATGAGCACATTGATCAGCAAGATTTAAATGGTCTTATAGAGCAGCTGCCTGAGCCCTTTATAATAATAGGAGATTTTAACGGCCATAGTCTGCTCCGGGGCAGTAAAGATACAAATTGCCGAGGAAGACAAATAGAGCAGATGATCGAAGATCATAGCCTTTGTCTCCTGAATAATGGGCACGATACTTACTTCCATGAGCTTTCAAGGACATTCCACGCTCTAGACCTTGCCATCTGTTCACCATCTCTGTTGCCATTTTGCACTTTTAATGTCGGAAATGATCTTTACAACAGCGATCATTATCCCATTTTTGTGTCTCTTGCACAAAGAGGAGAAAACCCCATGTCGAGACTCCCTCGGTTTATACTGAACAGGGCAAACTGGGAACTCTTCTTTTCCTTTGCAGAGCTGACAGACGAAATGGTAGAAGATGTGCATGTTGATGATGCTGTTGAAGCCGTTTATTCAGGCAGCTGTGCTTTCCATTCCTAGAACATCAGGAAAAATACTAAAATATACGAAACCATGGTGGAATCGTGACTGTCATGAAGCACGGAAAAAACAGAAAAAAGCATGGAACTTTTTTCATAAATATCCTACTCTGCGAAACCTCGTAGCATTTAAAAAAGCCAAAGCGAATGCACGAAAAGTAAGAAGGCAGAGCCAGAGGGATTCCTGGATTTCATATGTGTCATCATACATCCCTACGCTAGTAAATGGGTTTGGGAAAGAGTTAAAAAAGCATGCGAACATATAAAGACCACTTTCCTTTCTGGAAAAGATGGCCGAGTGATTAGCTCCATAGGAAATTGCGAATACTATTGGTGAGACATTTGCTGCAGTTTCTTCCAGCAGAATTAGTCACTGGATTTCTTTCTATCAGCAGCCTCTGAGAGAAATCCCATCGCTTTTCAACTCTTCCACTTTGAGCCTTATATAGAGATTACTGTTGCTACAGATAAAGAGAGCTTTGTTGCAGACTCATAGGTCTTGTCCTGGTCTGGATGGCGTGTATTATGAGATGCTGAAGCATCTGTCCTATAAGTCACTGACTGCCCTTCTCACTCTTTACAATAGGGTGTGGAAGGAGCGTACGTTCCCCAGTGTATGGAGGAGAGCTGTTGTCATTCCTATTGTTAAGCCAGGGAAATACCCGAGAAATCCCTCGAACTATCGGCCAATTGCCCTTACCTGTTGTGTTTGCAAACTGTTTGAAAAGATGGTAAACAGCCGCCTAGTCTACTTCTTGGAAAAGAATAATATTATATCGCCTTATCAAAGCGGTTTTCGAAAGGGGAGAACGACCGTAAATAATATGCTTCTTTTAGAGACATCTATTTGAAAAGCCTTTGTCAGAAGAAGTCACCTTGTCTCAATATTCTTGGACTTGAAAAGCTTACAA